ACAAAAAAATCCTATCTGGGGGGATTGGTGTGATACTTCTACTATCTGCTGAATGAATGAGTGAATGAATGAAAGACACTCCAAAACCAAAGCCATTCAGGTCATCTGAATTTATTCTAAGACTGATTCTCCTTAATAACTAAGCAGCAGGAATAGAATATCAGATCTAATCCCACAGCTGTCTAAATGAGCAGGGTGAGACTATCTGAAGGCTCAGAATTGACTGTGGACAAGAGCTTTACCCTTTACTGTGCCAAAGGTGAACTTCTCCACAAGACAGCACACGCATTGTCACTGCCTGACACGTCCACCCTGTGCAGACACTGGCTAGATGATCTCAACCCTGGACACAGCTGGGTCAGTGTTTCCTGGGCCTTCAACCTGACTGCACTGATACTATCTGCCAGGGTCAGAGAGAGGCCTACAGGCCCCTCTTCTTGGCCTTAGGTCCACGCAAGCCTCTGAAATTAAGTTAAAGAGGAAAACTCCAGCACTCTTCCACTGCTCCACAATCCACACTAGCATCTTCTTTTCTGAGTTCATGGCTGTGTGAAGACGCGTGCCCAGCTGTTAATGCCTGGGCTGGGTTGTGGGTAGAGGACATGGATTAGAAGGACGATGGCATGCTCTTCCTCAGGGCTGCTCATCAGAACCAGGGCTGCAGCCTGAGGTGGGCTAAGACCAGGCCAGTCACAGTTGTCCAACAAGGCAGAGTTTCGGGGCCTCGTCATCTGCTGCCTGCATCACTGCCACCACCCCTCACCGGCCGCCCTGCTCCCAGGACGATGCCAAGTAGGGAGGAATATACTGGCTGGAGCCAGAGAGGGGCCTGGACCCAAGTCAGAGACAAGGGAGAATTCCTGTAAAACTGTGAGTAAAATTGGGGAAGTGGATGCCACCAGGCTGGACAGTCATGGGCAGCCAAGAAAGACAGCATTCATATTCTCTCTGCTGACAAAACAGGGAACTGGACTTCCTGGAGCTTCCACAGCGCCAGGATAGCTATTTCTTTTCAAAGACTACTAAGGAGAGGCAGGAAAAGGGCCTGAGCCCACCAGTGGTAACCACCCCACAAACACTTGTGGAGCACCCATTTTGTTCTAGGTGCATGGGACCCAGGAGGACCTGCCCTCAGGGAGCAGACAGCTCCGAGCTAAGAGGTGTTCTCGAGGTAGCTTCGAGTGGATGGAGCAACTGGGGCTGAACCCCCTCTTCTCATGCCCCATCCTCTCCTTCTGTAGAGCCATCTGCACCCAGACGGCAATACATTCCTGCTCTCAGGGGCCTTCTTTTACCATTTCCCCTCCCCTCCTGGTACACTCTGTGCTGAGTTTATACAATATTAACTTAAACCACTTTGTAGGCTACTTTGCAAGTGTTCTTAATCTTTCAACTAATTCGTCGGCCCTTAGAAAATAAAGGAAATTTGAAATTGCTGTGCTGCATGCAATAAACTCTTGGCATCTGACCAGCAGGGGCTGTTCAGGCAGAGTCCACACCAGCCCTGCACAGATGCTTCCTGTTGTAAAGGTGAGGCACGCCTCTACCTCTACACAGCTCGCTCACCACCAGTCTCTGGACCCGCTTGCAGCCATGCATTCACTCCTTCAGCCGTCCAGCAAACAGCCACCGACAAAGCTGACACCTGGTGGCAGGTTGTGTGTTAGGCATGAAGGAGTGGGGGGATGAAAGGTGCATCAGACACAGTTCCTGCATCCCTGCATCCTTGCAAGGAGCTCACAGTCCGGTGAGGGAATGGTCCTCTCACTCTGTAGATGTGACTGAAGTAAGCTGAATGTAATCAGAACAGGGCCTTCCTCTGCAGGTTACCTCTCAGTATGTGTCCCCATAAGGGATGCTGAGGCACAGACAGATGGGAAGGGCCCTGGCAGAGACCCTAAGTGCTAGCTTTGCAAGTTGGTAGCTCTTCACTTATTAGAATATACCACGCTCCTGTCTGAACTGATTCTTCATGGGCAATAACTGCAGAGGCAGGAGGCAGGCAAAGAGAGGCTTAGGAGAAGCCCTTTCACCACTGGTTAATCTAGGAGGAGCTTGGTGGCTCAAGCCTGTAATCCCAGCACTTTGGGAGGCCGAGGCAGGTGGATCACAAGGTCAACAGATGGAGACCATCCTGGTCAACATGGTGAAACCCCGTCTCTACTAAAAATACAAAAAAATTAGCTGGGCATGGTGGCTCATGCCTGTAATCCCAGCTACTCAAGAGGCTGAGGCAGGAGAATTGCCTGAACCCAGGAGGCGGAGGTTGCAGTGAGCCGAGATCACGCCATTGCACTCCAGCCTGGGTAACAAGAGCAAAACTCCGTCTAAAAAAAAAAAAAAAAAAAAATCTAGGAGGAGCTGCCTTTCATAACAAGTATGCAGCAGTAGCTCATTAAATCATACCAGAGTAGGAAGGAAACTGGAAGATTATCTCAGATAACCCTGCCATTTTACAGACAGAGGGACTGAGGCCCCTAACCATAGGATGAGCTAAGCAGATGTCCCTGCCTGGAGCTCAGCGCCTAGTGAGGGGTCAGAAAACAGTAAAGGAATCACAGAAATAACACATGATCAGCTCTGTTAGAGGCATGAAGGGGGTGTACATAGGAGAGGAGTCAGGGAAAGCTTCCCTGTAGAATTAGCATGAACTGAGACATGAAGAATGAGGAAACAGTGAGCAAAGCCTGCAGCAAAAGAACAGAGAGCATTCCAGGTCAAGGGAATGGTCTGTGCAAAGGCACTGAGGCAGAAGGTGGCACAGTGCTTCAGAAGGAAAGGAAAGAAGGCGAGTTCAGTCCTGGCATAAGGAGTCTGAGCTCCCACTTCTGGCAGACACATTCCTGGCTCCCCACCTGCACTATGAATATACACTGCAAACACCTCCTGAGCATCTACCAATGGCCAGGTGCTCATCCGACCGAGTGTTCCCACTCAGTAACTCCCTAATGAGCATCCTCATACCAGGTGGATGCGACTGTAACCTCAGGCAGGCAGTCCCCAGAGCCTGAGCTCCGCCAACCACGGGCCTCCTAACTTGTGTAGTACAGTGACCAAGAGCAGAGACTATGGAGTCCAACAATACTGGGTCCAAGCCCCAGCCCTGCTTCTGATTCCCTGCATGACCCTGGATGAGTTACTCTCTCACTGCGGGCCTCATCTGTGAAAAGCAGAGAATGATGGCATCACCGACTTCAGAGAGTCCTCACATGGAACAAACGAGATCATCCACGTAAATCAGTGAGCACTGTATCTGGCACACAGCAGGCATCAGATATTAGCAGGTACTAGCCTTAGCTCTTCTGTTTCTAGCACTAGCAGAAGACCTGGCACAGGCAGGCATGTGAAATGAAAGAGTGATGCAGGTGCCCAGTCAATGCCTGTCAGGAATTGAGTGTCATAGCCCTGAATTGGGTATCCTGGGGAGGTTCTGAGCACCTGTCAAGAGAGACCCTCAAGCACACAGTGGGTGGTCATTTGCTGCAGATGCTGCAGAAGGGATTTATGCATTTGGTGGATTATTAGAAGAATGAGGGCTTTGTACAGTTCTTGCCAGCCCTGAGACTCGGGGACTCTCTGGACCTACCCCGCCTGCCAGAGCAGGGACAATTTCATGGAGCTCAGTTTCTTAATCACCTTATTCTGCTGGGGCTTAGAGTGGAATCCTTTCCCCAAATTGGACATTTATGGGGCTAGAGGAGAGACGGAGGGCAGGAGGGATGAAGTGTCCACATTCCAGCTGAGAGGTTAAGGGCTTTTGTGTTCCTTCCTTCTAAACTCCAAAGTTCCCAGCCAGGCCTGAGGGTGTCCATGTCTCCCTCAGATAGGCAGGGCATTCCTGTGTCCATGTCCTCCCCACCCCCAAGATCTCTGCAGTCCAGCTCCTCCTGCCCTCTCTGAAGGGAGCCAGGCTGCTAGAACCTTAGGGCCTCCCCAGAACTCAGCACAGGACTGGCACCCAGAAGGTGTGTGTATTTATGGAATATGTGAACCAAATTCGTCCTGATTTTCCCAACCCTGGGAAAGCGTGGGAAAGCCTAGAAGCCTCTAGGGGTCTCCCTGACTCCTGGACTGATGTAGCCTTTCTGTGGTCAGGACCAGCTTGGGGCCTTCAGATCGTGCATGGGGCCCACTGCAGGTGAGCCTCACTTCACGCCACAAGGTGAAGCACTCAGTAGAGGTCAAAGCCACCAGGGTGGCTGGCTGTTCAGAGAATCTTGCTCTCACAAAAGAAACTGAGGCCCCTCCAGTACCTCCTCAAGCACAGTTTGGTTTCTGTCACTAACTCAAAGCCAGAACTTTCAGTGGCTCACTAGTGCCCACATGGTCACATCCAGGCACTTCAGCCTGGCACTCATTCCCTTCTTCCCTGCCATGAATCTCCATACTGCTCCCACACCAGCCTGGCAAGCCACTTGCCTTTCCTCTCCTCCTGGCCAGCAGGCTCCCAGCACTCCTACCCACGGCCACCTCTCAGCAGAAGTCCCACGCCTGCTTCAGGGCAGGCAAGTGCAGCCTGGCTGGCCTGGTTCTTCCCCAGCTGTGTGGCTTCAGGGAATTGGCTCTGTCCAGATAAGCGAATCCACTCTGCCTAGTCCTGAACTGGAAACAGAGAACACAGAGAGTCACACTGCCATCAAGAGACTCACGGGAGGGGAGACAAGCCAGAGCCCTGGGGTGGTGGGGACTCAGAGGAGACACCTGACCTGGGCTGGAAGTCAGGGAAGGCTTCCTGAAGGAGGTGCTGGCAAAGTTCTGGGAGGGAAACAAAAGAAAGAAGAGGATGGGGAGGCATTTCCTCCAGCAAACAGGCCATGAGCAAGCAGGTAAAGGTCAAAGGCAACAAGGCGGGTTGTTGGCATAACCTCTGCCAATGCCCAGCTCACAGGAGCAGTCCCCATCCAGGGGCCACAGAGAAGGGGACTAGATAGCACACAGCTGACCCTCCATGCTGCCACACACCCCTGCACCTTCAGTCCCATCGGAGCCTTCGGACATACCATTCCTTGTGGCCACCCTGCCGCGGAGGACCACGTCCCCAGAGCGCCGTGGTGTCTGCGCAGCCAGGCGCGATCTGTTATTATCCCCGTCAGCGCTGCCAGCCTGTGTACATTCCTCCGTAATGAGTCTGACCTCCTCGGCAATGTTTAATCAGAGCCTAATCGACCCTGGCTTTGATCTGCTGCATTTTCTGCAAAAACCCTGGTACCTGATTTTTACAATCTGATTAGCAGGCCTGCTCTCCGAAGCCAAAATTACCTTGAGTTGCAGAGATCCCTGCTGAGTTCTTTGTGTTTTTTCCCCTCTCTTCCAACAAGTTATTTCCTGAGACAACTGTCACTTCCCTCCTTGCCTGTGACTGTCTCCCTCATCCTCAGCTTTCACATCCAGCCAGTCCTCAGGTCTCAAATAGTGGGTCCTAACCCATCCCCTCCTCTCCCCAGTGGCTTCAGCGCTGGCCACCACCCCGCAGCCAGAACTGCTGAGAGCCGCTGCCACTGTGCGGAGCCATCTGGCCTCAGGAACTGTTCCCTGCTGAGCCCTCCAGCCGGGCCAGTGGCCAGCCCCACCTCGTATTCCCCCCACTCTATCTGCTGCACGGGTTCCCGCCCTCCCCTCTGCCCGGGCCCTTCATCTAGTTCCCTCTCTCCTCTTTCACCAGGCTGCACTCTGGCCCCTCTCCACTCCCACATCCGTGATACCTGCTGCCCACCTTGGTCACTGTTCCTTCCATCTCTCCCACCAGACTGCAAAGCCCCTTTAGGAGGTGTCTCTCTCTCATGCTCCACTGTTACCCCAGGGAGCAGAGCAATGACTGCCCTGAAGCTGGGTACTCAGAAAATGAGGGTGAAAGGAAGATTCCCTTGCAGTCCATTCTGGAGGCAGCACACTGCCAAGTCAGACCTTGGCCCTTCTTATCTTTCAGCTCCACACAGCACAATTCTCCTCTCCAGCTCAGCCTGCTCCACTTTCTGCCAGGCCCCTGGCCTCTCCCATGGAGGACATGGCTTTGTTCTCATCCGCAGTGCTTTTTCCCTCCAGAGTGGGAATGCAAGGTGGGAAAGAGAGCAGAAGTCCCTGTGAGCACAGGAAAATGGTCCTTGCTTGGTTGGTGGCAGACCCTGAGCCAAGCCCTGAAGGTACAGAGGAATCAGATCCTCTCCCTCTCCTTGGGAAGCTCACAGCCTGTAGGGGAGGCAGTGAGGGGAGCAGATAAACTGGAACACAGGGAAAACAGTGTTTTCTCTGCTCAGGGAAACTGACTCTGCTTGAAAGAGACAGGAAGGAGTCTAAGAGGGAGCATCTGAGTTGGGTTTGAGAGAGAAATAGGAGCTCTCTAGCCAAGAAAAGAGTGACCACACAATGGCACAGAAGCATGAGAACATAGGCAGGTTCAGAGGGCAGGAAATGTTCCGGGGGCCTGAGTGGAGGTGGGAGTGGGGCAGTAAGTTTGCTGTGGCCAGATCATGAAAGGAGACCATGCTAGGAAGGTAGGACTGTGGCCTGCAGGATCACCGTGTCCATCGCCTGACTGAACTTCCTGAAAGTGTGGAGCACTTTCTTTGCCCTGATACACAGTGGATTCCAGAGCTGTTTACAGGAGGCTCCCAGAGCTACTCCACTGCCAGTGAGACCACTGAAGCTCAGAGAGGCCAAGTGACTTGGGCGAGGTCACACAGCCTCCAAGGGGCAGAGTGTGGACTGGAACCCAGAATCTCCTGAAGTTAAGGAAAGGTTTTCCCAGGATGGAGGCAAATGAGAGAATCACGGTGGGAGCAGAACCAGAGCCAGGCAGGAGAGCTTGACTTGTAAGGGGTTGCTCGCCTCTTGGGCAGAGGAGGAGGGAAGTACTCCCCAGCTCCAAGGCCTTTTATACCCTGCAAGGCACCACCTGCCCACCTGGGTCTCTCAGACATTTGTGGGGGGTGGGGGGTGGGCAGTGGAAGGAAAGATCCAGTCTCCTGAGGGCTTCCCATGGAGTTCTTTCACTAATTATCTACTCCCAGTCATTCCAAGGAGACTCTGAGGCAACATCTATCCCCTGGTCCAACCAGCCAGCCCAGCTTCATCAAGCCTGTGTCGGCCCTTGCAGTTTAGCCCCTTGCGGAAAACCCGAGTACATCCTCGCTCTCCTCACCCTGTGAGGTCCAGGGAGCTTCCTGAAGGGCCCCCTGCTGTTGAGCGGTTCTGTGTGTTCTCTTCCTCAAGCCACACAGCTTGCTTAAATGCCATGGGTCCCCCCAGCTAGAAAGGGGCAGCACCAGGTCAAAGCCCCCACCACCCAGCACCCAGCCAGGATCTTACCATCTGGACACCTCCTTCACGAGGGGAAGGATGGTGGGCAGGAGTCCTGGCTAATGCGGGTTCCAGTTAACCGGGAGTCACGGGATGTTCTCAGCCCCAGGCTCCCATGTGACCAGGGGACAGTGACAACTGCTCCCACTTGTACAGGCTCCCAGGCACAGGGCCTGACCTCCCTGAGTCTCTCACCCCAACTCAGGAGCTGGTGGCATCACCACATCATAGATAAGGAAGAGTCCTAGATGCAAGCATTCGGCTGTGCCCCTAGCCCCACCTCAAGCCCAGAGGACCCAGCCATCGGGATCACCATGCTGGGCTGTCTGGGCTGAGGAACCGGGGGCTGCCCTGCTAGAGGCCAGACTGGCCCTACCCCAGTGTGTTTCCTGCTCAGCAGGCTCTGGCCCTGCGTGTGGCGCGCTGACACCCGCTCCTTCCCTGATTCGAGTGAGCACCTCACCAGACTCTCATTCACTTCTGTTTTCTCTGCAAACATCCCACGGGCCCGCCGCTCCCTCCTGTGCCCAGGAATGCGAGTGTGGGCTCACGGGGGATAAATCCGTCTGAGTCTCTATTTTGACTAGTCCCTATAAAATGTGCTGTGAGCAATTTGCAGGGAAAGGTGGGGAAAAGGGAAGAGGTGGCGGGTGGAGGGGCTCTCCCTCATGCAGATGTGCAGTCCTGCTGAGCCAAGGACTAGGGACTAGACCCAGTCCCCCAGAAACTGTGCCGCCTTTCCCGCCACCCTCTCTGCTCTCCTGCATGTTTCTTAGTGCCCAGGCCAAATGCCCCCGCCTCCACAAAGACCTCCCTGTTTCCGACTGGGAACTACGATGCCCTTCCCGAGCCTCCACAGCACGGTCCTGCTCCTGGCCTCATGCTGACAGGTGAATGACTGCCTTGCTTTCCCCATGAAGCCCTGAGCTCCTCCAGGGCAGGCCCACAGCACCTGTATGATGCCATCTAAAAGAAGAGGCGCTCAGGGAACAGCTGCTGAATAAGCACTGTTTTTAAATTGGTTTATGTGTGGGGGGGATGTTTTCTGGAGAAAACCAGAAAATCCGTCAGAAAAATCCTAAAAGGGCTGTACTACTCGTTTTTAAATTTTTGCTGAGTGCCTGATCTTGCCCAATGGAAGAGAATTCATTTGGGGGCACCTTGGGGAGCCTGCTGACAGAATCCATGAAGGTCCAAGAGTAGCGCAGAGGTGCCGGCCACACCCCAGGCTGGGCTCCAGGCCAGGCAAGGCTGGGGAGGAAACTGTCATGGTAGTCTTTGAACTCCGGGGTCCACCTTCTTCCTCAAGCCCTCTGCTTTCAGCAGCACTCTGTGGATGGCTGAGCACTTTCTCCAGGTCGTTTGATGGTCTCCTTACACTCCACCCTCACAGCGTGGGTAGGTTAAGAGACCAGGCCAAAGGTGGACCTCAACACCCATTCAACAGGCGTTTCAAAGAGAGATGTGGAGAGTTTCAAGTCAGACCAGTAAGTGCTGTGATGGGGCAAAGCAAGGGGGCAGTGGGTATGCAGAGGAGCCACGGCCCAGTCAGAGTGAAGGAGGCCTCAGGAGAGGCTTTACAGAGGCGCCACCTGTCTGGGCAGGACTCACAGCAGCTGCCCTCCTTCCCCAGGTAAGAGGCATTTACCCCGGCTGGCCTCTGGCTCCAGCCCTCTCTCCTTGTTCCGGTCCTCCCTCCTGGCTGCAGCCCTCCACTGTCTACCAAGTTGACCTGCCTTTTGAGCTTCCTATATCTTCCCACCCAGAAACATCCTGAGCTGAGAGCCAGCCAGACCAGAGCAAGTGACCACCGAGATGGGGAGTCCCAGCAAGGCCTGCACTGTGACCTTTCTGCCTGAAAACAGTGGAAGACAAGCACTCAAGAGGTCTTCATTCTCAACACTTAGCCCAAACAGACTTACTTCTCCATTTAGCCACAGGCAGTACCAATGCCCTGTGTCACGCTGAGCAAACCCTGCCCCTCTCTGGGCCTACAATAACAGCCTGAGGCCAGACCTCTCCTCTCCAGGAGCATAGCATCTGTGATATGTTACCCTACCCCACCCCCGCCATCCAGGCCCCTCTGAGAGGCATCTCAGCACCCATTACTGGCCTCAGCAGATGAGGGCCCAGGAGCTCAGCCTGTTCCTCGGGCCCTGGCCCTCACTAGCCTTCACTTGCTCACAGGTGCCCTTCAGAGTCCGTTTATCCCCGCCACTCTGCACCTCTGGGCTACATGTAGTAAGTGGAATGCCATTCCCCTTCCTATCAGGCCAACGCAAGCCCATATCTTCCCAAAGGAAGCTCTCTCACACCTATACTGGGCTCCCTGACCCTGAGTCACACTGTATGGCCATTATCTGATACCCAGCAGCCTGCCCCTTCTGCTGTGAGCTCCCTGAGTCAGGCCTGAAGCTGATTTATCTCTGGGTCCCCAGCATAGGCTAGAAAGGGTGAAGAACATGAATCAAACATCAGCTGCACGTGCACAGTGAGGGCATCAGGCCAGGGAGCATCACCGCCCAGCGACACTCGGCACCATGGCACCACATCTTCAGGGCCACAGGCAGGGATGGCTCACCACATCAGGCTCCACTGCCCCCACAGCACACAATGGGGAAAGGGTCCGCTCCAAGGCCCTCCCTCTTGAAGACCTGTGCTGCAGAACACAGCTGGGATGGCTTCCACTGGTCTCCTATGAGACACGGCAGGGGCTCCTACAGGAACCAAATCTCAAATGGCCTCTGCCTGAACTGGCCGCCAAACGGTCATGTAGAGGCTGGAGAGAGGACATTTTAACACCACAGCACCTCTTCGCCTCAACATCTGCATCTGGAAATGGACATGACAGAACAAACAGGACACTGTGGCACAGGCTGCGCCGTCCAGCACCACTCAGAGAGCCAGGGCTATCTCTCCTTCCCTCAGTCGTCCAGAGAAGCAGGCAGGGCGGCAGTGATCAACCCCTGTTTATGGCTGGGAAAATGAGACTCAGGAGGCAGGACATTTGAACTGGCCTAAAAGACAGAGAAGGAGGAAAGGGCATTCTGGCAGAGGGGCTGGTATCCCTGGAAACAGGCAGTGATGTCGATGCCAGAACTGTCCAAGGGTGTGGCTGGAGCAACAATAATAAAAACCAGGTGCCACCCCAACCACTCTGCATGAATCTAGACATGTAATCCTCTAACAACCCCCTGAGGTGGGTACAATTATGTCCTCCTTTTTACAACTGGGACATCTGAAGCACAAGTAACCGTCCAAGGTTACCCAGCTAGCAGTGAAGGAGCAGAGATGAAGCAAACCCAGGCTCCAGGGCCTGCATTCCTCCTCAAGCACGTGTCCACACTGCCTCTCAGAAAGGAAGGGAGAGGCTGGGCGCTGTGGCTCACGCCTGTAATCCCAACACTTTGGGAGGCTGAGTCGGGAGGATCACTCAAGGCCAGAAGTTCAAGACCAGTCTGGGCAACACAGCAATATCTCTGTCTCTACAAAAAAATTTTTTAAAACCCAGCCAGGCATGGTGGTTACACATCTGTAGTCCCAGATACTCAGGGGGCTGAGGTGGGAGGATCACTTGAGGACAGGAGTTCGAGGCTGCAGTGAGTTACGATCACACCACTGCACTCCAGCCTGGGCAATAGAGTGAGACCTGTCTCTTAAAAAAAATTTTTTTTAAAGGAAGGGAGTCAATGAAAGCCCCCATTCAGTAGTGCCTGGCCCTTAATTAATATCTGATGAGTAAATAAGTGGATGGATGAACAGAGAGTCTCGGCATCTCACCCTACCTGTGGTATTAGCTCCCTGCTCTGCAGCCCTCACACCATGGCTGGGACCACTTAGCCCCACAGCTCTCTTCCCACCCCCAGGCTCTGTTTCCAGCAGGGAGATCTGAGAGGGTCCTACTGAGCTCCAAGTGAGGCATGCAGGGCAGCTACTAGTCCTACGGTGACCTCAGCCCCACCTACAAGCTCCTGCCCCGCAGGGCTCACCACACCCTTGCCACCAAACCACACTGTGGTCAGGCTTGCTCTGGCCCTGCCTTTGTCTCCCTGGCTGCAGGCCCCTGCCTCTGATCACTCAGTCCAGCTCCTGAACTAACTCCATCCCCCGCCCCCACCCAGCTGGTGGGTCCCCACATGCCCCAAATTTACCATTCCTCACTGCCAGCTTCTAGCCAAAGCCCTCCAAAAACTCACTCCCACCTAGGCCAGGGTACCCACTGCCACTCACAATAGGGCTCATAGCCCCCCTGTGTCCCTTCCCAGCTGCACTTACAGTGGGGCTTTAATGACCAAGCCCAGCCTCTCTCACCACTTGCTGCCCACAGACCCCAGCCCTGCTCATCTTATCATCCTCTCTCCTGCCACCACAGGAGCCATACGTGAACCTAAATCCATGTTTCTCAAAGTCTGACCTTTTGTCTGCTGCCCACAGAATCTTGGGCCCACCTGAACTCCATGAGCAGAATCACTGGAGATGAAGCCTGGGAGGACCCTGGGCCCAGGATCCCAGATTCACATGGTCTGGGAGGGGCTGAGCCCCCTGCTTCTCCATGCTCCCCGACATCTATGAGCTCCTCCACCCCTGCTCCTCCTCCATCCCCTCTCCCTCTCCCAACAACCTCCTCCTCCCCTGGAGCTTCTACACCTTTTCCACCAGCCACTCCCTGCAGCCACTCAGCCAGCATCAAATCATACACTGGCTGAGCTTCGGATTTGCTAATAAAGAGTCCTTCATTTCTGCACAGCTCCACCTTACTGAATTTGCAGTTTCTCTAAATGGCCTCTATATTCCTTTCACGGCCAATACTAACCTGCCTTCTACCCCCACTCCAACCCAGAGTCACACCCACCCAGCATGACCAGCTTCCACAGTTAAACCAGCTCTGCCCCAGCATCTGCATCTCTGAAAGCACAGAGAGATGTATATTACCGTTACTCTAGTCCCACCATAGGCAGCAGCAAGGCCCATTTGGACAGGGGTCAGGGTGGAAGAGGGAAATCCACACCAGTAATCTGACCTGGGGACGGGGCCTGGCAATTTCACACTCAGCCTGTGCCCCACTCTGCAGTTCTTTATCTCTGTTAAATACCTGACCCCTCAAACTGCCTCCCTTTTTCCTAACACAAGCTTTCTTTTCCTTCTCATCCAACTTCTCTTTTCCCCCATTTAAAGAGAGAAGGATTTGAAAAGCTATTTCTAAAACTACCATAGAACAATAAAGCCCCTTTTGAACTAAGCACACCATGTAATGAGGCTTAAACTCACTGCCAGATTCAGCATCCTGAAGTTCAACCCTATGTCATATCCTTGCTCAAAAGACCTCCATGGCTCCCCACTGCCTGAAGAATAAAAGGACTCGACACGACCATAAAACAACAATTGGTATCCAATGTACTTGACATGTCCATGGAAAGAATGTAGTAATAACATGAAAGACATAACCATAACAATAAACATAGCTAGCAATTACTGAGCACTTACTATGTGCTTTATACATGTTAACACATGACCCTACAGGGGTGCAGCTGGGGGAGGGACACAGCCAGAGTAGAAGTGGGGGACCCTGGCCCATGTGGGAGTGAGTTTTTGGAGGGCTTGGATAGAAGCTGGCTGTGAAGAAGGGAAATTGGGGAAACCCAGACCATCCCAGCTCGGGCCCGCTTTCTCCCCACATGCTTGCCCACGGCCTCTGCAGGCCCAGTGCTCTGGATGGTGGGCACTGCCACCCTAGCAAACCCCAAAGTCTTCTAGGAACCCACTCAGTCTTCACTGGCTGGACTAGCCTATCTGTCAATGGACTCCCAAGGACCCATCCTGTCCCCAGAAGCAGCTCTAGAGCCATTCTCTATCCCTCTACATCCATAGCCGTCCTTTCCAAGAGAAGGTATGTCCCTCACAAGCGTTCAGCACTTCCCAGTGTCAGAGTGCGTCATGGAGACCTGGTATTAACCCAGAGAAAGGAGCAGGGCCGAGTACATTCCACTCTACAGACAAGGACATCATCGTGGCACCGTATGTTCCAGGCATTGTTTCATAATTTAATCCTCCCTGCAGCCCCCTCTGAGATTACTATTATCCCTCTTTTACAGATGAGGAAACTGAGGCAGAGATGGGCTATGACTTGCCATGGCCCCATGTCAACTCAGTGGCAGGACTTGAACCCAAGTCTCCCTGGTGGCCATCTGTCTCTGGAGGCCACCACTGTGGCCAACAACCTCAGAAGATCCATCTTCTCTGCTGCTGACCATCTCAAACCTTCTGGACACCCAGCCCTGGAGGGCAGACATCTGGCCAAGTGCTTAAGATGGTTCTCAGCAGCCCCTGGGGCCAGAGGCCAGAACTGCTAAGTCTGGCTCTGGAGTGTTCCCTCAGCCACCCCATCCCATCCTGGTCCCACAGCGCCCCAGCCAGAGCTGCCCCCCCAACGCAGCCTCTCACCCCTGCCCATAGATCCAAATTTCCATTCCCTCAGCAGCATGAGCTCAGTGGGGAGGAAGGCAATCTGATTACAAGCAGTCCTGGCCTCGGGGTCGCTAAGGGTGTGGGCATCATAAAGCAGGCACCCTGGCGGCGCTGAGGAGGGGAGGGAATGGTGCAGGAAGCCTGGGATATCGAGGCCAGGCTCTGTTACCACCGCCCCGGGTGGCCTCCTGAGCCTCAGTGCCCCCACCTGGAAAGCGTGTCTTTTAATCCATCGCTGCCTTACCTAACCCTCCAAACGGCTATGCCACTCAGTGACCTCGATGAGAAGATGCTTTGGGAGATAGGAAACATGACGTAGACATGAGGAGCCTGTGTCATCACAGTCACACTGAGCAAGCTTTCCCCAAGCACCTGCCCAGCCAGGCCTGGTGGTGGGCACTGGGCTCACGGAGAGGAGGAAACACGGTCCTGGGCCCCAAGGTCTACTGCCTGGTAGGGGAGACGGTTGAAGGGCAGCCACCACACAGGAGCCCGGTGCTATGTGGAGGGACACTCTATGGACTGCAGGGTCCCCAAGAAAGGGCTCTGGCCCAATCTGAGGTCAGGACTGGTCTAGAATGGCCCTGAATTAGTTTGAGAGACCAGCAGGGGTTGGCCAAATGGAGGGGGTGGGCCCTCT